ATGGCAAGTCCAGATTCTGCTGAACCATCACAGTCCCTCCAGGGCCAGGCCCCTGCATCCTCCCAAACGGGCATGCTCTGAGAGGGCAGCTGGAAACACACGCACCACAGGGTGGCCCTGCCAGGCTCAGAAGGAACGGGACGAGGAGAGAAGGGGACTCAGCTGGTGGTGACCGGGAGAGAGCTAGCTCAGTGGGCAAAAGACTGGTAGTGCTGGGCAGGGGCCAAACCAGCAAGTAGGCCCTGTGGCCAAAGGCGCCCTGCCTGGCAATGTTCACTCATCCCATATTTGTCAGATACGCATGTGTGAATGCCTAGTCTTATCCGTGCCTTCCAGAGAGCTCTCTGCTCATCACCTCATTCAGGAAAGGCAAGATATACTGCTGAGGCCCAGGCGCCAGGTGAGCAGCAGGTGACTCAGGCCCCAACGCAAAGTTCAGCCCACATGCACCGTACAGTCTGGCTGTGGCCAGTGAGACTGAGAGCTCAATGCCATGGCTGGTCCCAAAATTGCCAAAGAAGTCGGCCACCAATGCTAACCCCCTGCCCACCTGAGCTGGTAGCTGCTGGCCCCTGTAGCACACCTGAAGATCTCTACGCCTCCCCTGCCAGGAGTGGCAACAGAATGCTGCAGGAAGTGTGTGAGCATCGTCAGCTCTTGCAAATTCAGGGTATTTTTATCATCACCAAATTTTCCGACTTTGTTAGGATGACAAGCAGCTCCAGGCCTTCTGCCACAGGAGGTGACTCTGATGTTCTAGATGACATCTAGGTTGCAAACTTCTCCTTAAAGCCCCACCAAACAGGGCCCAGGAACCTGGACAACCGTTCACCTCCACAGACACAAGCGCTGGAGCGCCAAGGAAACGGCACAGAGTCTGGCTGCAGTGGGCGGCGGGGGCAGCCGGCTGTCACCTGAGCAGGCTCTGGAGTTAGGGTCTCAGCACCACATGCCTTTAGACAAGTGGCTTAACCACTCTGTGATCTGGCTTCCTTCTCCATAAAATGGGCACAATGACGTCTCTCCTGCAGGGCTGGTGAGAGGCAATGTCCATAAAGCACTGAGCCTTCGTGGGCACTCAAAATCTGCTCTGATTTTGTCACCTCTCCAGACAACGGGAAAGACAGTATTAGGAATAGCAGGACCCCATCTGATATTTTTCCTTTTACAGCCCAGTGAACAGCCAAGGGAGACCTTTGCCCCCAAACTAAACAAACAAGAGGTGTAGGAAGGCAAAAGGAGGCCTCTGCTTCTGTGCACATCCACCTCAACGCAGAAGCAGACTCAGGGCTACCTGACAGGTGTCAGAGGAGGGGGGAAGGGAAATATGGGTCGTTTCTCCAATAAGCGACGACCTGGAGTCTTTCCTTCTCCCCAGCGACTGCCCACAGCCCTGCAGGGCTCAGGGCCTGAGAAAGACCCCAGGATGCCGCCTTGTATGCACTGGGCCTGGACTGGTGAGCACAGTCCACTGGCTTAACCTCAAACCCTGCACACTGTGGGGCTGGGACACAGCCACACAACTTCAGCGTGGAAGGAAGCTGGCGGGTCGTTCTGTGTACCGCTGCGGCCTGCTGCCCTTCAGGACACCGCCTGAGCTGAAAGACAGAGGCCACGCCGGAGTCTCAGGTGGCCGGGCTTCTCAGGTACTGGCACCTCTGCGTTTTGGGTTTCCTGGCAGAGCTCTCCTCACCCTCCCCACCCCTCCCCAAACCCCCAGCTTCCCTCCTCAGGACTCCACCAGGGCTGCAGGGAGGGGTCACCGGGGAGCGGCCCTAAGGTGCTGTCTACCTTCCCAGCAGCAGGTGACTCAGAGGCCTGGCCCCTTCCCAGGCCCACCTCGCAGAGTCGGAGAAGGAAGGGCCCCCAGGCTACGCTCCGGGTTAGGCTAGGAGGTCGACTCCAGCCGACAAATCCCCAAAGAGAGGGGTGGGAAGAGAAAGGGATCAGCCATAAAAGCGAAAAGTTGGAGCCCTGGAGGGGGAAATCCCGAAGAGTCGTTAGGAAAGCTGGAGAGGCGCGGCGCTGGGAGAGGGGCGCGGGGTCTGCGTGGCCCAGGGACGGACCTTCTCCTCCCACCCACCCGGTCACCCCTGCTCCGGAGTCGGGGCTGCGGAGGCCGAAGGGCCGCACCCCGGAACCGGACACTAGACATGGCACCCTGACGTAGACCCCAGGTCCTGCACGTCCCGGGAAAGGCGGAGGGCGACATCCCCCCTCCCAACGCTTCTTCCCCTTTACCTGCGGCGGCGGCGCTGCGGCCCGGCGCGGCCCAGGGAGGTTGTCTGGCTCCACCTGGCCGGGCGGGGCGGCGTCCGGACTGCTTAAAAGTTACAGAGTGAAACTCCGGCACTCGTGCACATGCGCAGGCCCGCGTCCACTGCTTGCTCAACTTGCAGCTTTGGCGGGGCAGGCGTCTGCGCTGCCGCCGGCGCCCGCGCCCCGGACCGTGCGCCCCTCGGCCATCCTCCGCCCTGGCTTGGCCCCGGGGCGGCTGCTCAGCCCGCGCCCCTCCTCCTAATGTTCTGCAGGCCCCGGCCGGGCCGGCTCGCATCCTGGGACCGAGGAGGGCGCCGCCACGGCTAATTCCTCTCCCCAGCCCCCGGCGCGTCCCCCTTGCCCCGGCACCTCGGGGAGCCCCGGGCCTAGCACAGGGTGGTCGCGTCCGGGGGATGCGCGGGGAGAGCATCAGCAAACGTTCTTGATTGTCCTGTGTTGCACTGAATTTCCGCGACCGGCTCCTCGGCCCGCCCGGGGGAGTGAGAGGATGGGAAGCTCGGCTGGGCTCAGCCCGCACCTCGGCTCCACGCAGTACGCGGTCGCCCGGCTCCCCGTGTGAAAGGCCGCGGCTCCCCCACCGCTCTGGGCAGCCGGACAGGGAACGCCCTGTGGAGGGTGGGTGGGTGCGTCCTACGTTTGGCCCCAAACGGAGGTCGCAGTATTTTCAGCGGTCCCCTGGAGCAAAAGCGGGTACTGCCAGGACCAGGCCGCCGGGTGCCACCCATCTAGCCCAGCTGTTTCCTATGAGCCAGCGGCCTCCGCAACTGGACTGTAAGCTCCCCGGGGGCGCCGGGGTGTGCGCTGGGCCACACGCAGGACGGGGTTCAGTGAGGACTCCGCACCCTGTGAAACCGAAGACCACCGCCTGCCTGCGGCACCAAACTGCCCTCTTCTGCAGGCCTCGGTTTCCGCGTCTGCAACACGAGGGGGTGGGACCGAGGGCGCCGCCACGGCTAATTCCTCTCCCCAGCCCCCGGCGCGTCCCCCTTGCCCCGGCACCTCGGGGAGCCCCGGGCCTAGCACAGGGTGGTCGCGTCCGGGGGATGCGCGGGGAGAGCATCAGCAAACGTTCTTGATTGTCCTGTGTTGCACTGAATTTCCGCGACCGGCTCCTCGGCCCGCCCGGGGGAGTGAGAGGATGGGAAGCTCGGCTGGGCTCAGCCCGCACCTCGGCTCCACGCAGTACGCGGTCGCCCGGCTCCCCGTGTGAAAGGCCGCGGCTCCCCCACCGCTCTGGGCAGCCGGACAGGGAACGCCCTGTGGAGGGTGGGTGGGTGCGTCCTACGTTTGGCCCCAAACGGAGGTCGCAGTATTTTCAGCGGTCCCCTGGAGCAAAAGCGGGTACTGCCAGGACCAGGCCGCCGGGTGCCACCCATCTAGCCCAGCTGTTTCCTATGAGCCAGCGGCCTCCGCAACTGGACTGTAAGCTCCCCGGGGGCGCCGGGGTGTGCGCTGGGCCACACGCAGGACGGGGTTCAGTGAGGACTCCGCACCCTGTGAAACCGAAGACCACCGCCTGCCTGCGGCACCAAACTGCCCTCTTCTGCAGGCCTCGGTTTCCGCGTCTGCAACACGAGGGGGTGGGACCGAAGCTTCCCCTCAGGTCCCTTCCGGCGCTAGAAATTAGTAAATCCTGAACAGGCCTTCACTCCGCACGTGTGCAGCTTTGCGGGGCCTCTGCCCTGTCTTCCATTTCTGGGCTTTCCTCTTCTCTGGAAATGGTCAAAGTGTTCTCCATCCCTCCCTGCCCACGCCTCCAGCGCCAGCCTGGGGCTCTGGCGTGGGGTGGGGTAGGGGGTGGCTCCTGCTTCTCTAACGCCTCCTTTCGTCCCATCTGGCTTCCGCTCTCTCCCCCACCCACAGCCGCTAGTTATTTCCCACAGTTTGCCCTTGGCCCCTGCGCTCAGCCCAGCCCTTGTCCTTCTGCGCAGGTGCCTGACCATCTCTCCTGCTCTCACCTCTGGCTGCCAAGGGCCCACGGCTGACCCCCAGCAGGTTCCTGGGTGTGGCCGCCGGACTTGCCCCTGGCTTCTCAGACTGCCTCTGTCCACTCTCTGCCCCCCCATATGCCCCACCTGCGTGTCCCTATTCCGTCCCTGCCTCAGTTAACGGAGCCACCCCCTGCCTGGTCTGTGCCCTGGGGCCCAGGGAAGTGCAAAGTTCTAACCCCTAACCTGGTGGAGCCACTGACAAAGAGAAAAGTTAGGATCCTTGATTTCAGAGAGGGAAGGGATTTCTATATTCGACTTTCAGTTGGTTATTTCAAAATCAAGAGAAGGCCAAGACAGATCAGAATGTGAGTTGAGATAACCATAGCCCCCATTACATGTCAGGCAGTATGTAGAGTGCTTAAAAAAACACTATTTCTGGGACTTCCCTGGCAGCGCAGTGGTTAAGACTGTGCTCCCAATGTAGGAGGCCCAGGTTTGATCCCTGGTCAGGGAACTGGATCCCACAAGCATGCCACAACTAAGGAGCCCACCTGCTGCAACTAAGACCTGGCACAACCAAATAAATATTTAAAAAAACAAACAAAACAAAACACTATTTCCTTAAATGTCCAGTAAAAGTACAGGAGTCAGGGACTGTCCCTATCTGATAGACAAGAAAATGAAAATTTAGAGGATATAGAATTTATAGCCAATAAGAGCTGTGCAGCCTGGCTGGCAAGGAATCCAAGACATCCACGCCCCAGGCCCAGATCCTACATCAAACTCAGTTTAAAAGCCAGTGTAATCTTGGCATTCAAAAATCTTATATTCACCATTTTATCATTTGCTCCCTTTATCTGCCCCCAAATCTAAAGGAGTGACCCACATTCTTGTAATATTGATGATGACTTTGATCACAGATTCTTAAAAATTTTGTATCAAGTAGAATTGAAATAAAGCCCACACCCTGTGCCCAGAAAAGTAAAAATGTCAACAACAATGACCAAAATAAATTCTGCCTTAATCCTAAGAGGACAGGCACCTTAGAATCAATGCATTTTGATCCTAGCACCCTGTATCACTTAACTGAGACCTCGAACAAGTCTTTTTAAGCTTTTCCCTTAGTTTTCTAATCTGGTTGACCTAATCCCTATAGAACTTTCTGTTCCCTCACAATTTGCAGGATTCTGGGTAAAACATAGCAATACCGAATAAAATCTGTTTTATTTGTTTCTTGCAGAATACCCTTATTATCTGAGTTGGGAATGCACAACCCATACTTGACCCTAGGTTTTAAGCCCAGAGTGGCAGCTGCATCTCCCACCCATACCACAGAGCTCAGCCCAGATCCAGTGACAGGACAAGGGAACAATGACAAATTGTGGTTTCTCCTCTTAGGTTACAAAATCTACACAGATAAGTGCTTAGGATACAGTGCAGTGAATCATGTCAAGAAAAGGTAGACTGGGCAGGGGTTACCCAGTGGCCAGGGAGTCTTGCTCCTGGGAAACAAAAATCAGAAGCTGAGCTGACTGGTCAGAAGAACTCAGGAGAGAGCACAGAGCATGTGCCATCCACGGTTCAGTAATCCCCATCTCTCCTGGTACCCTGGAACACTTCTGACACACACACAAGCCAAGTTCCTCCATGGCTGCACCCCACACCTACGGCTCCAGCTTCCTTGGTACAGGCGCCCCATCCGAGGCACAGCTGCACTTCTGCACCCTCATGTTGGGCAAGCTGACCACCTGGGGCCTGGGCTTGCCTCCCTCCGGGATGCTGACAATCATGGGCAGCGAGGTCGTCTCTGAGGCGGTGCACTGTCTCGGCCCCAGAAATGGCCACTTGAAGGTCAGGGGCTCTGGGGGCTGCTGGCAGGTGCCCACACACTCATAGGCCAGGAAGCCTGGGGGCTCCAGGACCCAGTTCTCAGCCCACTTCATCCCCTGCAGGTCAATGTACACCTCCCGGCGGCAGCAGCGGGTGCCCTTGGTCACTGGTGCCTTAGGATCACAGTTTCCCTGAGCTCTGTGGGGGGCAAGGAGAGGCAGAGTCAGAGGTCAGCTGGGAGGGCAGAGGTCAGGGAGCCCAGGGTGGGGCTTAGTGGGGCATCTGGAGGGAGATTTATGGTCCGTCTCTTGTTATGTTCAAAATGCTGGATATTTGTGTAAGGATGGATAACTAAGAAATAACCCCCAAATAAATAATTAGACCTGATATTACTCCTAAGACCCTTAGGAGAAATTTTATATATTCATCCATTCTCATAGCACCCTGTAAAGTTGCCCATTTCAAAGTAAGTTTAATTCCGCCATTTGCCTCATTGTTCGGGTTCACCCATCTGACCCACAGCACCTACCCGTAATCCTTGAGGTCCAGGGTGTGCAGCTCCAGCTGGGGCTCCCGCTGCCCGGCGCCCGACGGCCCCTGCGAGGCGAAGCGGACCAGCCTGTGGGCGCTGGAGGCCAGCGGGCCCAGGTGCTCCCGCTGCACCGACACCTGAAGCAGCAGCGGCTGCCGGGGCCGGCGCAGCTGCTGCCAGAAGTTCACGGCATCCGTCACGTCCAAGGCCTTCCAGCCGCTCTCGTGGATGGACACCAGCCTGCGACACCACACGGAGACACAGGCCCGCGCTGAGGGGTGGGGACTGGGACGGCTGGGGTGGCCCCGGAGCGGGGTGGCCCTCCCCCTCCCCCTCCCCCTCCCCTCCCCTCCCCCCGCAAGGGGCCCGGCCAGCCCGGACCGCGCTGCCCCTTCTCCCCCAGGGCACCCCTCCTCCCGCGCCGGGCCCAGCCCCCCTCCTCATCCCCGGTCCCACACCCCAGCCGCCACCTCCCCACCTGGAGTCGATGAGGGAGGTGCGGTTGGAACCGTCATCGCGGACGTGCAGCCACTGGACGGTGCCTCGGGCGCGGTCGCTGCGCGGGAAGAGCCGCTCGTGGCTGCGGAGCGCGGCCTTGGGAACCGGCTCCTGGAAGAGGCGCAGCACGGCCTGCACCAGCTCGCTGTGGGGCGGCAGCCGCTGCTCCATGTCGAACACCAGCAGGTGCGAGGAGACCTCGGACACCAGGAACCTGCCGGCCACCTCTGGGGACACGAGCGGGGTCAGCGGGGCCCCTCCGGGCACCAGGGGAGCTCTGAGGGTGGCAGGG